TCTGTCAATCGTGGTCCTGTAAATAACCCCTCACCCATTCTTCTGTAAGTAACTACAGTATATTTACTAAACTAGACTTTGATGGAATCATTTTTTTGAGTGTCATTCTCTGGTATGAATAGACATCATACCATCTGCCCATGAGGTCTGAGGTTCAAATTTATACAAATTTTGAGTCCTTCCCTCATGCCAGGGTATGGAGGGTGCAAGATCCATTATAGGTCCTAAATATGTAATGCCAATGAAAATGCAGGTGTAGGTGTGACAGATCTCACAGTTGTGTGAAAGGAGCTTTTCTCAAAACTCAAAACCATGGCATCCCATTTAGACCAGTGGATTTCTAATTCATAGAAGTGAAACCCAGTTTCATTTTGGAGCCACCTATTGGGTGTCTGGGTGGAAAGCTGGACTGATCTGGAGGTGATGTTCACAAAGGCAGTAACTTTGCATTGGTCTTGTGGAGAAGTCGACAGGGGAAGTCAAAGTCTGGCCAACTGATTTTTCTCAGCTCAGTGTCTTTATCTTGTGTACTGCTGCAGTTCATATCATTTCGTTAAGACCGAAGTTGAATATTTTAACTTGTTTATGGTGCTTATCTTAAGAATTAGTTTGAAGATGTGTGTGCACTATGTCATGGGTCACTAAGGGTCAGGCAACAAATGTTGATGGCCTGATGTATTTACGTTTTAAAATATTATTTTGTGTATAACACATGTATACATGAGTGTGTGCATGTCACAATTTCAGGGGAACAATGTTTTTTCCCTGTTCTCTTTTTACCTTTTTGTTTGTTCTAGGAATCAAATTCACTTCGTCAAGCTTGTGTGACAAGCCCTTTCCGTACTGAGTCCATGCCCTGAACTTCCATTACCTGTTTTTTAAAGCACAACAATTAATTTTGGCCCTTTGTCTTTATCTAATTTTTTTGGAAGTCCTTCAAGTGCATTCAGGAAAACATCACTATGTTATTCTTTACTTTGATAGTTGCTAGATACTGGTACTTGCTGATCCTAGTCAGTTGGGTTTTTCTTTTTTTTTCGGGCCTTTTTGAAACAGGGTCTCCCTATACCCCCAGATATCCTGCAAGTCTCTATGTAGACCAGGCTGGCCTTGAACTCACAGAGATCCCAAGTGCTGAGATTAAAGGTGTGTGCCACCATGCCCGGCCCTAGTGAGTTTTTTATTCAGAACAAAATTGTCTGGTTTGGCAATTAATGAATTTTCTCTTAATAGTATAAAATGAAATCATGAATTTTGGTGACCCTGTTTCCTGCCCTTCCCCATTCCAGTTCTTTTCCCTACCTCTTTTCTCCCTGAGATGGATGTTTTCTAGGTTGCATAGGTTAACTTTGAGTCCTGCACCCGTGTGAACATTCTGTCTCATCCTCTGTCACTACTATGACTATACACACATGTCAACATGACTGACCACACTGAGTTCATTCTGAAGCAAATGTCTCCTTTATAGTTAATTTATTTACATTTGACATTACCTTAAAAAAATTAAAAAGTATTTTTTAGTGTGTTTAAATACTAACTGTACCATATTTGTTACGTGATAAACATTGTGCTTGAGAGGCTGGGCAGATGGCTCAGTAATAAAGACAATGGCTGCTATTCCACAGGACTACGTTTCTAATCCCAGGACCCACATGATATCTAATAATTGTTGGTAAATCCAGTTCCAGGGACTCCAACGCCCTCCTCTGACCTCAGAAAGCATTAAACAACACAGATGTACTTACATACTTGCAGGGAATCCACTCATACACATAAAATAAAAATAAGTAAAATATATTTTTGATTGTGCTTTTGTAATCTAATTCTAGGAGCATATACATTAGTTCTTCTGTAAGCACATAGAATGGGGTTCATTTCCCATTTAAAAAGATATGACAGCAGGCATGAATTTGTGCCCACCAGGGACGTTCATTACACTCAATGCCTGTTATTATTTGGGGTCACGTGGCTCATCCTCTAGTTATCTCTGTGAGTTGTGAATAGATTAACAGATTTTTATAATGAGAACCATTCATAATGTACCATAAAGTTTGTATAAATCCTTTATGCTAGCTGATTTATCATTTATGTCCAAGCAATCTGTACCAAACGTTAAATTTTCTTATGTCGTCAAAACTTAAGCTTTGTTAGCAGAATTTCCAAGGAGAAGCAGGCTCTTGCATGCTAATTCTCCTCTGTTCTGGATATCAGGTCATTGGACATATTTAAGACAGGAAGTAGGCATGCATTGTAGAAAGAAATTTGGGGCAGAGGAACACCACATCCTATGCTCTGTGTCCTGTAGTTAGAGGAGTGTCCCTATTGCAGTCTGTCTTTTCAGAACCACCCACCCAAATCTAGCAATAGAACTTCTGTGTCATAGAACAAAATGTGTGGATAGTACAGAATTGTAAGAACCTATTATAAATGCAGTCAATGACCTGTTTAGGATTCTGTGACATTTGAGGATGTTGCCGTGATGTTCACCCAGGAAGAATGGGCTTTGCTGAATCATTCTCAGAAGATTCTCTACAGAGATGTAATGCTGGAAACCTGCAGGAACTTCATTTTTATAGGTAAAAATATCATCTTCAGTTCCCTTATCATTTTAAGGAACAAGCATTTCTTGAAATTGATGCTCCTCTGTGGTTTAGAGGATTGAAACAAAAGAATGTGGTGTACAAATAGGTATGGTTCATATACACTATAGCTACAAACTAAGTTTTCAGTAATTTCTAATTCATCAAATTTTTCTTCAACTACATTTTAGGAAACAGTTATGAAGATGAGAATAATAAAGACCATTGTAAAAGTTGTGGAAAAAATTTAAGGTAATTTGAAAAGAGTATAAGGACATTTTCTTTGAAGAAATTTTTAAAGTCTTATATTTGGTTTTTTATTTATGTGTGTGTGTGTGTGTGTGTGTGTGTGTGTGTGTGTGTGTGTATGTGTGTGTATGTGTC